GTTAGAACTGAAGACCTTGTGGTTAGCAGTCCAGGGCTTATCTTACAGCACCACACCATGGCTCATTATTCATAATTGTTGTTAAGTGCCTTTGAATCAGTTCCGACTAATAGCGACCCTGTATAGGGTTTTCGAAGAGCAACTGGTGGATTTGAACCACCAACCTTACGGTTAGCAGTCCAGTGCTGATTGTACACCACCACCTCAGGACTCCATATTGTTGTTTTGTTGTTGTTAAGTGCCGTCGAGTCGGTTCCGACCCATAGCGACCCTGTACAGGGTTTCCGAGGGTGTAAATCCTTACGGGAGTAGAAAGCCTCATCTTTCTCCCGCGGAGCAGCTGGTAGTTTCGAACCGCTGACCTTAAGGTTCGCAGCCCGATTCGTAACCACTACGCTACCAGAGCTCCTTCCAGGACTCCATATAGCAGTTACTCCATATAGTAGTTACTATTTAGAACCACCACCTGTCTGTCAGTGTGTCATATGTTGGTGGCTTATGGGTCTCTTTAAGGCTGAAAGCTATGTCACTGGTATTTCAAATATACCAGCAGGCTCTCCCATGGTGGACAAGTTTTAGCAGAGCTTCTAGACTATGACAGACTAGGAAGAAAGGCCTGGAGATATACTTCTGAAAACTTGGCAAAGAAAACCTTGTCGATCACAATAAAATATTGTCTGATATAGACAGGTCATTAGACGAATAGTTAGAAAAGGACATCATGTTTGGTGACATGACAATAGAAAAAGAGGGAAACCCTCGATGAGCTAGACTTCAATGCAGTCATCCCAGCAACGGACTGAAATATACGTACATTCGTGAAGATGGCAAGGACTTCTTTCTGTTTTATATAAGGTGGCCTGGGATCAGCGCTCCCACAATGTCTTCGTCTGGGTGAGTTCTCTAAGGAAGCAAAAACAGTGAAACTTACATATAATATATATAAAGAGAAATTTATGTCAAGTAAATGGTTCACAATTGTAAGAGAGTACAAGTCCATGTCAGATGAATTCACAAGACCAGGGCACTTGATATCCCCTGCCAGGCGGCTGCTGTATGTTCAAAACCATTGCTGTTGTTAGGTGCTGGCGAGTCGGCTCTGATTCGTAGCAACCCCATGAACAACAAACAGAACAAAACACGATCCAGGCCTGCTTCAAACTCACAATTGTTATGTTTGAGACCATTGTTGCAAGCACTGTGTTAATCCTGCTCACTGAGAATCTTCCCCTTTGTGCTGATGCTCTACATTATCAAGGATGATGTCCTTTTCCAGGGACCAGAAAGTATATGAGATGAAGTCTTGCCATCCTGGCTTCTAAGGAGCATTCTGGCTGCGCTTCTTCCAAGACAGATTTGTTTGTTCTTCTGGTATATTCAATATGCTTGGCCAACACCGTAATTCAAATGCGTCCATTCTTCTCTGGTCTTTGTATGTTGTTGTTAAGTGCTGTGGAGTCAGTTCTGACTCATAGCGCCCCTGCACAGGGTTTCCATGGCTGTAAATCTTTACAGGAGCAGAACGCCTCATCTTTCTCCCGCGGAACTGCTGGTAGTTTCGAATTGCTGACCATGAGGTTCGCAGCCCGATTCGTAACCACTATGCTACCAGAGCTCCTTTCTTAATTCACCAGATGGCAAGTATGGCAAACCATGTTCAGGTCTTTGAGACTTCTGAACAGACTTTTGTTTTCACCACAAGGACTGAAGAGGCAGTTGACTATCACGTGAGTCTTAGTAATGATGCTACTAGCCTACAAGTTCCTAAAGTTGACCCCTTGGGTAATTAATTTTGAACAAATCAAGCTCTTGGAATGCTCCCCAGATAGCTGGTATTGGTGCTCTGCATAGAGCATGAATTCTCTAACCAGACTGCCTGGGTTCAATTCCTAGCTCAGCCACTTCTTAAATGGTGTCTTTGGACAAATGATTTCATCTCTCCACACTCAACGACTCATCAGTAAAATGGGAATACATGCATACTTCCTTTTATTCTATTTTGTATTTTTGTGCCTCACGGAGATTGTGTTTTTTGGAAATGAAAGGTTTGTGGCAAGTCTATGAGCCCATTTTTCCAACAGTGTGTGTTCACTGTATGTCTCTGTGTCCCACGTGGGACACTCTCACATTATTCCCAACTTTTTCATTGTGCTATTGCACACTTACCAGGCTACAGTATAGTGTAAACATCACTTTTATATGCACTTGCTGTAGTAGTTATTAAGTGCTGTTGAGTCATAGTGACCCTGTATAGGGTTTCCAAGGAACAAGGCTGGTGTGTTTGAACCGCCGACCTTTCCTTTCCAACAGACCTTGCGGTCCAGTGCTTATCCTTCTGTGCCACACCTGCCATTTCCTTGATTGTGATCTTCACTTTATTGCTGTGTTCTGGAAACCAAAATATCTCTGAGGTCTGCCTGCAATTACAGAGTTGACTCAAGGGCCTGATTGCAAAGATTTAAGGAAATAATGAATAGAAGGTATTTAGTTTAGCACCTGGAATCCTAGTGTGGCGCTATAAAATAAGCACAGAACTGCTAATCACAAGGTTGGCAGTTCAAAGTCACCAGCCGCTCCTTGGACATTCTATACAGGATCGCTGTGAGTCAAAACTGACTCAACACCACTGAACATCAGAAGCTTAGTGCCTGGGACACTATTGCTGCTGTTAGCTGCCATCAAGCTGACCCTGACGCAGGTGCGATCCATGAGGTGTTCCATTGGTTAATTTTTAGGAGATTTTCAGGCCTTTCTTTCTAGTCTTCAAGGTGAAATCTGCTCAACATCATGACAACATGCAAGCCTCCAACATCAGGTGGGTGGTAGGGTGCTTCAGTAAGTTCCCAGGCTAGGACAGATCAGGAGGAAAGACCTGGTAACCCATATGCTTCAAAAAAATTAGTCAATGAAAACTCACAGTCTGATTCACACCTGATTGGGGAGATGGTGCAGGATTGGGGTCTGGGGAGCCTTTCATTCCACTGTACAGGGGGTGGCCATGAGCCCACCAGTTCCACGGCAATTAACAGCAACAACCATGTGAAGCAGCAGCCACACACAGTGAAGGAGGGGCACAGGAAGACCATTTCAGAAGGCTTGAAATAGCCTGGTGTATTGTGGGCACTTGGAGTAATTCCACGCTTATATTATTGTTGCTGTTAAGTGCCTTCCAGTCAGTTCCGACTCATAGCGATCCTAGATAGGATTTCCGAGGTTTTAAATCTTTGCAGAAGCAGAAAGTCTCATCTTTCTCCTGTGGAATGATTGACAGCCTCAAGTCACAGGTGAAGGCTAAAATCCAGAATCCCCCAGTCCTTGGTCTCCTCTTCCCTCTTGGACATGTTGTCAACTTTTTCTTCCTAAAAAAATCAATTTAACTTTCTGTTGGTTCCCTGCGACCAACAAGACCAAGAAAAACTCTCTCCCTTGGCATTCTGAGCCAATCTTATCCCATCTACTCTCCAGCCCATCTCTCATCTCTCCTCCACACCTGGAATCTCCTGATTCTTTGCCATCACCGATTGCTTTCTGGTCTCTTAGCAGGCCACTCATTCAGGATGCTGCCTCAGCAGGAAACATCCTTCTCCCTTTCTTTACTGAGCAAATGTTCTTCATTTTCCAAAATGCAGCTCAGAGGACATCTTACTAGAAGCTCCTCTAGGACACAGGTTTGCTGCTATACCCTTAGCACCTAGTTAATGCAGTCTGACGTATTAAACCACAGTGCATGCAGCACCTGTCATTTTTGTTGGATTAATTACTTGCTTTGGTAGCATAGTGATTACAAATCGGGCTGCAAACCACAAGGGCAGCAGTTTGAAACTACCAGCTGTTCTGCGGGAGAAAGATGAGGCTTTCTGCTACCGTAAAGATTTACAGCCTTGGAAACCCTGTATAGGGTGGCTATAAGTCAGAACTTAAATAATAACCTTCGACCATATTATTTAGTTCCTGAAGAAAGATGAGACTGTTTCTATGAAGACTGACAACTTTGCAAACCCTAAGGAGTAGGGTTACTCTGTTCCATAGGGTCTCTATGAGTTAAAATGGACTTGATGGCTGTGGCTTACTTTTTTTTTTTTAGTTATTTACTCTTCCTTGAGTAACTCAAAGTAGTCTCCCCACTTCTGTGCTCCCCACACTCCTTGTCTACACATTATTGAAGATTCTTGAAGTCAGGTATTATTCCTTATGCTTATTTTTCCTCAGGGTCTCAGTTCCTGGCACAACCTTATGTGAACCCTCCGTCTGTCATGGGAATTTTGCATGTTGCTGTGGTGTGGCAGTTCAAACCTACCAGCTGCTCCTCGAAAACCCTAAACAGGGTTGCAATGAACCGGCTGGACAGCACTTAAGAACAGTAACATGATGCTGAAACGGCGTCAACGGAGCTTCCCAGGCTAAAAAGGACTAGGAAAAAAGGCCTGGCAACCTCCTTCCAAGAATTAGACCATGAAAACTTCAAGGATCATAACATCAAGGGTCTGATTGCACCCAATCATGGGTATGGCACAGGACTAGATAGACTCCTTCTGTTGTACAGGGGGTCGCCTTGAGTTGGGATCAACTGGAGGGCAGCTAGCGACTAGTGCATATTTGTTGAATGGATAAGCAGGCGTGTCATGTCACTTTATAGACTTTGTGAGCCTGCCAGACCCAGTGTCCCGCCTCTGCCCCCATGTACGTCTGATGACCCAAGCGCTGACGCTGAGCACCACCCTAACTGCCCCTAGACAGCTCAGCAGGAGGCCCCGCCCACAGCCGGGATTGGAGGGACGTGGCAACACCCACCTCTCGGGGCCGCGCTGGATTGGTGCGGAGTAGCCCGGGGCAGGACAGGGAGGGGCTTCGTGACGCCATCCGGGCAGAAAAGCCTGGCGGGCGGCTGTGGGAGACCCATTGCCCAGCCCGAGGAGGTGAGTGTGTTCGCTCGCAAGAATGACGCCGCGCCCGTGACGCTGCACGGCCGCTGAGTCCCCAGCGCCGGGAATCCAGTCCCAGCACGCCGCGGAGGTGGTCAATCACGTCTTGTTTTACAGATCCAGAGGACCGAGGCGCCAGACTACGAGGACCTCCCCAACATGGCATCAGAGGTGAGCGAGGCCAGGAAGACCGCGGCTCCAGGGACCCCCACCTAGTGATAGCCTTGGCTGGACCTGCCCACCGGGCTCCCAGGCGACACCTATTGGAACCTGGGAAGAACTTTTATCGGGACTCACAGGGTCCCCATCACTACCTCTGAGCGCCCAGGTGGTCCATGCGGCAAACCCAGCGGGAAAGTGACCCCACTACAGCCCCAGGCCCGAGCCCCCACCTGGCCCAGCCCCAGTCGTCAGCCCCCTCCCCTGCATTCCTTCTTTCCCCTGACCCCTTAGTCCCCGCCCTGCACCCTGAAGCTGCCCTTTCACAATCTGGCCTGTGGTTCCCCCAGCCCTGGTCACCTCCTTTCTCACTAGTTGCTTGTCCTCCCCCATGAACTCCTGGCTGTCAGCAGGAGTGGAGGCTCGGGTGTCCTTCCTTGGGCCTCAGTTGTTCTTGCTGGTATTTGGGGTTAATGATAGCTGCCTGTCTGCCATTGCTTTGGCTCGCTTAAATAAAAGGAGCCGTTTGCTCGATGGCCGTGGAGGAAGAATCAGTCCAGGGAAGCAGGAGACTGGGTTCCAGCCACTATCTCTCTGGGTCTATTGGTTAGAAGGGCTAGGAATGGTTGCCAGGTTCTGGGTTGTGGTGGAGGGCTGGGGGGAGGGCCTGGACTTTGGAGCTAAACAGACTTGGTTTCTGACCCAACATCACTTGATCTCTTTGAGCTGCTCTCCTCACCTGTCAGATAATGGGTGAGAGTGCCTCATTGGAGCCTAAGGTTTAGAAATGTTGTTTCTGAAATGCCTAGCACAGGGCCAGTGGAGTCCCTGAGTGGAGCTAGTGGTTAACCTGTTCTAATGTGTTCATTCTGCTGCTCACCAAGAGGTTGGAGGTTCAAATCCACCCTGAAGCACCTGGAAAGAAAGGTCTGGTGATCTAAGCATGAAAACTGAGCTACAGAAAAAACTCTGTGGAGCACAGCTCGACTCTGGGACACATGAGGTCACCATGAGTTGAAATCTACTTCATGGCAACTTTGTTGTTGCTTTACTAATACAGTAACAATACTGATAGTTCCCTATGGTCTTAAATTGACTGTTGCGCCTTCATCTACCCAGTGGCCCTGCTCTTTGTCCTGAAGGCATCCTTCTAGGCCACATCTGCCATTGCTTGAAGCAGTGTTCTCTCCCAACTCTCTTAGGCTTCTCCACCCCTCACCTCTAGGTGTCCTGATGTTTAAATGGGTTAAGTGTTGGGCTACTAACCAAAAGGTTGGCGGTTCAAACCCACCAGTTGCTCTGTGGTAGAAAAATGTGGCCATCTGCTTCTGTACCACCCTCACCGTCACTGAATTGATTCCTACTCAGAAATCCTATATAGGGTTGTAAATTTGAAACTGTAAATTTTTACAGGAGTTGTTCTTACGTGCCGTGGATAGGGTTTCCTAGGCTGTAAATCTTTACGAGAGTAGAACGTCTTATCTTTCTCCTGCAGAACAGCTAGTAGTTTCGAACTGCTGACCTTAAGGTTCGCAGCCCGATTCGTAACCACTACACTACCAGAGCTCCTTTTACAGGAGTAGACAGCCTCATCTTTCTCCCAAGCAGCCGCTGGTAGGTTTGAACCACAAACCTTGCTGTTAGCAGCCCAAACGTTCAGAAATCCTATGGAGCAGTTGTACCTTGTCTGATGGAGTCTCTATGAGTCTGAATAGACTTCATGGTGGTGGATTTGGTTTATGACATCTCCCACCTTACTGGACCATTTCCTGGGGCCCTTTGAAGCCCAATAGTGGGATGGGGGCTTGGTCTTGGAGCAGAGTGGGCTGCTTTCCAGAGACCTGGCTCCAGATGCCCCCTGCTTGCCCCAGGCAGTACTAGGGGTTGGCACTAATTGGTTTGGCCGAAGCCCTGGCTTGTTACTAGTTGTTGTTATTACTAATAACCCAGGCAGGGAAGCAAGTGCAGGAAGCCAGCTGGGGGAGGTGGTGCCGCTCCCATCCTGACTGGCTGGTCTGAATGGATCCATGTGGTGCTTTGTTGATGGATGGAGCAGCAGAAGGATCAAGTCAGGGAAAGGAGACAGAGGCCGCCTCTGAGGGCACAGCCCTGGGCAGCCTGTGTTCATCTCCAAGCCTGGGTCAGACATGCTATATATAGGAACCAGAGGTGGAGCTAAGGCCCTGCAGCCCTTGGCCCTCCCTCAGTGAGTGCCAGGCACGTTGCTAATATCATCAAATCACCCCATTAGATAGAGCCTATTAGTATACCTCTTCACAGAAGCCCTGGTGGTGCCGTGGGTTAAGCATGGGGCTACTAACCAGAAAGTTGGTGGTTCAAATTCAGCATCCTTTCCTTGGGAGAAAGAAGAGGTCGTCTGCTCCTTTAACAATTTAGTCTTGGAAACCCTCAAGAGCAGTTCTATTCTGCCCTGTAGGTCACTAGAGTGGCTTTGGTTTATGTGGATGGGTTGAGACACTGGCTGCAGCAATGAGTTCACACACTGTGAGGAGAAGGTAGGATCAACAGAGTTTCTTTCTGTCGGGCTTTCTGTTTCTTTCTGTTGGGTTGCTATGAGTTGGAACCGACTCAATGGCACCTGATGAAGACAACACAATACCCGCAGTGCCAAGGGGCTGATGCAGGGGATACAGAGGAAGACCTGTCCCCAGGGGCCCATGTAGTCCCACCCCATGGAAAAGACAGCAGGCTATTAGCATACAAACCATGGGCCCTGCTTGGACTGCCCCTCAGGGGTCTGGCACCCCCTCACCTGCCCCAGGGTCTCTGGGTGGCACAAATGGTTAAGTGCTTCGCTCCTAACTGAAAGGTTGGCAGTTTCAGTCTATCCCAAGGCACCTCAGAAGAAAGGCCTGGCGAGCTACATCTGAAAGGTCACACAGCCACTGAAAATCCTGTGGAGTACAGTTCTACTCGGCACATACTGAAATCTCATCACTTACTGTTTGGGTTTTAGTTTGGCACCTGTTCCATGTCCTGACCTATGTCCTCTTTCAAAACCTGTGCCTTTGACCCCCAGACAGAGGTCAGTTAGTGACCTCCTGGGAGGCCGGTAGTCAAGGGCCAAAAGAGTGGTAGGGGTGGGCTCAGGCCCTCCCCCTAGTGAGGAAGAGCCAGGGGGTGATGCACACCTAGTGGGGCCCTCAGGTGCCCTCTTGTCTGGAGGCCCAGGCCTGTCTCTGCAGCCAAAGTCCAGAATGACAGTGCTGAGCGGAGAGGTCTGGCGGAACGTGGGTGTGAGCTTGTGGGCAGATTGCTAGGCCACAGTCCTGAACTCCCCGCCCCCAGCCTGGGCAAGCTGTGCCTCAGTTTCCTCCTTTGCCTAATGGGTTAGTCCTGACACCCCCCTCAGAGTGTTGCTCAGCAGCCAGATGGTGTTTGGCACACAGTGAGAAAGTAGCGAGAAAATTACGACAGCTGCCACCCAAACTCAGAGGTGGCTTCAAACTCCGGGTTCCAGAGTAGCTTCCCACCTTGGACAAGTTCCAGAAGCTCTGCCCTGGTCCTAGGGGTACCTAGGACCGTGTGCCTATCTTCTGGGGGTGGTGCCATGTAGCTGGAATGCCCCTTCATCTCAGGTGCAGCCATGTTCCTCTCCTTGTTCCCTGCTAGTTCCTGGCCCCCTGCCAGTCTCAGTGGTGTCTTCATTTCTAACAGTAGTAGCCCTGCCCGCTGGCCTGCACCTCCAGCAGACCTGGTGATCTTCTTGTTCTCCTGGTCAGAGTGGAAAGCTATGGGGCGGCCGGTTTGTGGGCTCTGTGGACCCCATTATGGAGAAGTTCAACTCGTCCATCGCCTACGACCGGAACCTGTGGGAGGTGGACATCCAGGGCAGCAAGGCCTACAGCAAGGGCCTGCAGAAGGCGGGGCTCCTCACCAAGGCTGAGATGGACCGGATCCTGCAAGGCCTGGACAAGGTACTATCTGAGCCCATGCCCGCCCCACTAGGACCCTGCTTCATGGGCCGCACGCCCTCAGCGGACCCCCACATGCTGACTGCAGTACCAGTCCAACCTATCACTTCCCCAGACCTTGGTCATGTGGCGAAACAAGTCTTTACCCCAGACATGCCCAGCCACATGGCTAAAGACCTGTCTCACCATGAGCTGTGGGGACTGCCACAATCCCCCTCTAGTGGCCCCATGAGGCTCTAGGGTGGCACTGTGCCAGGTCTCTACCCTGACCATCTGGGATGCGGCTCTGTGGTCATTTGACTCCACCGGGATGCTGCCGTTCCCCACAGGTGGCTGAGGAGTGGGCCCAGGGCACCTTCAAACTGCACCCCAATGATGAGGACATTCACACTGCAAATGAACGGCGGCTGAAGGTACATCATCATTCACCCCCAGCCAGCCCTGGCCTCCCTCTCTGCCTCACCTCATTCTGGCTCCTTCCCACAGTGGCAGGATGTAGGCGAGGAGAGGCCTCCACAGAGACATTGGGCAGGACCAGGACCCTGGGTGGAGACGGAGGGCGAGGGGATTGGTAAGGAGTCTGTCACCACTGGGGTGACCCTAAGCCCACTTTACCCTCAGGAGCTCATCGGTGACACTGCAGGGAAGCTGCATACTGGACGAAGCCGGAACGACCAGGTGCCGTGAGCTGTGCCCCTTCCCCGTGCCATCCCCCCAGACTGGACCAGGGTCCTCCCTGAGCGCTCTCCCTCCGCCTGCCCACAGGTGGTCACAGACCTCAGGTTGTGGATGCGACAGACCTGCTCGGCACTGTCTGCCCACCTCCGGGAGCTCATCCGAAGCATGGTGGACCGGGCAGAAGCGTGAGTCTCCCGGGCGCCCCAGGTGGCAGAGGGACATGGGGGCAGCCGGGTCTCCTTCTTCTGGGTCAGGCTTCCTAAACAGTCAGTCTAAGTGGCAGGGCCCAGGGTCCATGGCCCCAGAACCCTTGGACTAAGAGAGGAGAACAGCCAAGAGGGACATTTCTTACAGCCTGCCTGGTCCCCGTGCTAGTCTAACTGAAAGCCCATTGCAAAAATACTTGGTACCAAAGCATTCCTCCCATGGTGTTATTGTTATTAAATGCAGTCAGTCAGTTCCGATTCATAGCAACACTGTAGAGCGTTTCCAGAGTGGTTGGTGGATTTAAACTGCCAACCTTGTAGTTAGCCATTCAGTGCTTGTCCTACAGCACCCAACCAGAACTCACGATTCGCCTAGATTTGATCACTCATTGCAGTGGCCACACAGAATTCAGATGGCACACACAGTGATGGGGCTTTATGAGGGAAGTGATGCTTCCAGGTTACAGTGCAGGGCCAGAAATGCTCAGGGCACAGTTATTCCGGTCAGAACAGCGTCTCCTCAGCTGTGCCCACAGGCAGCTCATTCTGCCTGGCAACTGTTACACAGCTCTTTAAAGCTGCTGCTGAATGCCCACAGGACACACCACTCCACTATGATGAGCCTTAAGCAGAAGGCACTCGGCTCTAGCTCTGTGGGTCAGCTAACCTAGCTCCCCCACTTACGTGCCTGGAGGGCATCCCACTCTACTAGCGAGCTTCCTGCCCAGAGTCACTCAGCTTTCCTTGCTCTGTGGCCTGGGAAACCCACTGCTCTGTCTGGTGCTCTGGTTCTTGGTTCTGCAGCTGCTCCTCTGCCCCTCCTCAGTGTCACAGCTTTCTGTCCCCAGGTCCAGGAGGGTCAGTGTGCAACTCAGGGTCTAAAGGATGAGCTCCTCTCCCGGCTCTTCTCCTCTGATGGTAGTGAGACCCCCCCCTCGTGGATGCCATCCTATCAGTATCTTCTCCCACCTTCTCTCACCCAGATCCAGCAGGGCAGAAACGTTGTTTGGCTAAAAGAGGCATTAGATCCTTCACTACACCATACCCATCCTTTGAGGAGAAGCACTAAGGAAACATCCAGAACCCTAGGACAAGGGACTGGCTGTGTCTGAGACTGTACCTTGGTTAGCTCAGCTGCTAACCAAGAGGTCGGAGGTTGGAGTCCAGCCAAAGGTGCTTGCGAAGACAAGTCTGGTGATCTATTTCCAAAAAATCAGCTATTGAAAACCTATGAACAGAGCTTGGTTTCAAATGGTTCAGTAGTTGTCTTGGTAAACAAAGGCTGTGAGGGCATTGAATAGCAACCAAATCTGTTGTCTGTGGTATTTTAGGATAAGCACTGGACTGCTAACCACAAGGTCTGCGGTTCAAACCCACCAGCAGCACTAGGAAACCCTATACAGGGTGGATATGAGTTGGAACTGACTCGACGGCACTTATCAACAATAACAAGGAAACAGTGGGACCCAGCTCACAGTATATGCTGCTCTCCAGAGTCCTACCAATGATCCAGCCTCCTGTATCAGGCTCCTCAAAGTTTCAGGAGGAAGGACTTTTGGAGAGCAACATTATGGGCAGGAAGATGTGACAGTCTTGGAAACACTGTGGTTGCTAGGAGTTGGAATTGAAGGCAACAGGTTTACCAGGATGGCTGTATACTAAAGTGAACTGTAGCTTTAATGCTGAATTGTATGGTATGGGGGTAGAGAATTCTCTTGCCTTCCATGTGGGAGACCCAGGTTTGATTCCTGGTTGCTACACCTCAAGTGCAGCCACAGCTTCCTGACAGTGTTGCTGTGGTGCTCGACAGGTTTCAGAGGAACTTCTGGAGTAGGAAGAAAGATCTGGTAATCTTCTAAAAATCAGTTCATGGTAACCCTATAGGTCACAACGGCCTGACCTGAAATAGCCCTTGGAGATGGTGCAGGGCTTGGCCGTGTTTTGTTGTACACAGAGTCACTGTGAGTCAGGGACTGACTCAATGGCACCTCACCACAAAGCTGTTTGTTGAAGAAAAATTAATAGACCGTCACCCACCACATCTCTGCTTCTTTCCCACGCACTTTAAAGCACCCCAGCTATTTCTGGGGTCCTCTGGCACACCCATAAACACGCTTTCCCTGCCCACTGGGCTCCTCCTTCCTGCTCTGTCCCCTGCAGTTGAGTCTGCTACCCCAAGCTAAGGACTTGTCCTGGGATCACACTGTCCCACTTAGGTCTCTTCCTGTGAGACCTGGCTTGGTCTTGATGCAGACCGATCCCAGAGGGGCTGCTATCTGCAGTCTCCTGGGTGTCTATGCCAGCCCTGCCTACACCAGCCCTTTCTCTTCCCCCACAGGGAACGGGATGTCCTCTTCCCAGGTTACACACATCTGCAGAGGGCCCAGCCCATCCGCTGGAGCCACTGGATCCTCAGGTGAGGGAGTGGGGCCAGGCACAGCTGAGGGCACTGAGATGGGGGCTGCCCTGACCTTGCTGCCCTACCCCTCAGCCATGCGGTGGCGCTGACTCGCGACTCGGAGCGGCTACTGGAGGTGCAGAAACGCATCAATGTCCTGCCCCTGGGGAGGTGAGTCTGGAGGGGCAGTGGAGAAGGACAGGGGTGGACAGAAGCCCAGGAAACCTGCTTCCCGTACATAGATGTGCCCGGGACAGCAAGCTGTTGGTTAAGGCCTGCAGGGAAACAATCATTCCAGAGCCCAAGGAGGCTGGGCCAGGGAGGAGCTGAGCTCAGACTGGGGGCTTGGTTTAGTGCATGTTGTACATATGGCTACCCTGACCTCCAGCCACCTGGGTCCCCAATCAGTTTGACTCCCTATTCCTTGTCCCTCAGTTCCCCTGTGCTCCGATTTCCCCACGCTGTTCCTTAATTCCCCCAAATCCTCTACTCCCCCTAGCCCTCGATTCTTCTTGTCCTTGGCTCTCCAATCACTCTGATCCCTTGTCCTTGCAGCGGGGCCATTGCAGGCAACCCTCTGGGTGTGGACCGGGAGCTACTCCGAACAGGTGAGGCGCCCTGCTTCCCAGCACCCCGAGAGCCCACAGACACACACTTAGATAGGGCTAGGGAAGCCAGGGATGGCCACAGCAGGAGTGGTGGGGTTGGGGGGCCTGGGTCTCCCTCCCCCTCTTCCTCTGCCAGCCCCTGCTCCCTGAGGGAGACCTAGGACAGGTGGCTGGGCAGCCTGGGGGTGAGGGGATGCTGCTCTCTGCCTCCAGTTCGGCCCAAGGTGGTTCCTTCTACTCCTCCCCACCAGAACTGAACTTTGGGGCCATTACCCTCAATAGCATGGATGCCACCAGTGAACGAGACTTTGTGGGTGAGTCATGGAGGCCGGTCCCCTCTGCTGGTTCCTCCTCACCTCTCTCCACTCCTGTAAGTCCCATCTCATCTAGAGCATCTCAGGGCTGGGTAGGGGGCAGGAGATACCTGGTGACAAAGAGCCCCGTGCCTCTCCAGCTGAGTTCCTGTTCTGGGCATCATTATGCATGACCCACCTCAGCCGGATGGCCGAGGATCTCATCCTTTACGGCACCAAGGAATTCAGTTTCGTGCAGCTCTCGGATGCCTACAGGTAAAGCCCTTCCCCTCCTTGCCTCCACACCCACCTGTCCTGCCCAGGCCAGGCCAGGCCAGGGTGCTGTTGGACCAGGGCCATTCCTTTAGTCCCAGCATCTCTGTCCCTAGCACCGGCAGCAGCCTGATGCCCCAGAAGAAAAATCCAGACAGCCTGGAGCTGATCCGGAGCAAAGCGGGGCGAGTGTTCGGGCGCGTGAGTCGGGCAGGGCGTCTGGGTGGCTCGGTGGGACCTGGGAGGCCTTCTGGATGGGTTCAGCCTGTTCTTTCTCCTCAGTGTGCTGGCCTCCTGATGACTCTCAAGGGACTTCCGAGCACCTACAACAAGGACTTACAGGTGTGAGGTGGGGACGGAGTGGTGGACCCACCTGGGGGCAAACATATGCCATTCTCAGGTCCCGCACTCCCAGCCATCCTGGGTGCCCAGCCCTGTGGCTGTTCCAAGACCTCGCCTCTCCCTTGGTGTGGGGGTGAGGGGTATGGGGACCACAGGTATCTGGGGGATATGAACCCTCCCCTCTTGCCATGTGCCTCCCAGGAGGACAAGGAAGCTGTGTTTGAAGTGGCAGACACCATGAGCGCTGTGCTGCAGGTGACCACTGGTGTCATCTCAACACTTCAGGCAAGACATGTCCCTTCCCACCTCGGCTTGTAACCTGGGGTGTGCAGGCCAGGACGGTGGTCCTGAGAGAAGACCTGGGGCGGGGGTCGGGGGGAGGATAAAGTAAGCGAAGGGACGTACAGTAAGCTGCGTGGTAAAGAGCACCTGGGTTCTATCATCTGACCAGATTGTTGTTATAATTTATATATATAATTTCGAACTGCTGACCATGAGGTTAGCATCCCAATTCATAACCATTGATGGCGTCAAGTGTGGCGTCGGTAGTGAGGTTGGCCCAGGATCGGACATTGTTCCGTTCTGCTGTGCATGGGGTCGCTATGAGTCGGTTCCAACTCGATGGCACCTGACAACAACACTACCAGAGCTCCATATATATACATATATATGCATATATGTGTATGTATATGTATATATATATACATACACCAGAGCTCTACATGGGAGCTTTATGGGAGCAGAAAGCCTCATCTTTGTCCTGCGGAACAGCTGGTAGTTTGGAACTGCTGACCGTGGGGTTAGCAGCCCGATTTGTAGCGTAGTGGTTATGAATATAGGACAGAGAAGAAGTGTTCCTCAGGGTTTCTGAGACTGTAAATGTGTACGGGAGCAGACTGCCTCATTGGTCTTTTTCAAAGCGGCTGGTGAGTTTGAACTGCCAACCTTGCATTTAGCAGCCTGATGCTTAGACCACTGTACCACCAGGGTTTGTTCAGCAGGGTAACAACAAAAACAACAAATAAACCAAACCCATTGCCATTAAATTGCTTCTGACTCATAACGACCCTGTAGAGGATTTGTTGTTACATATCTTAGAGTTGGTTCTAATTCATAATGAACCATAGTGTAGAGGGTTTCCAAGGAGTAGCTGGTGGGTTTGAACTGCCGAACTTGTGGTTTGCAGTCCACAGCACCACACCAGGTAATAGGCTGTAAATCTTTATGGGAGCAGAAAGCCTCATCTTTCTCTTGAGGAACACCTAGTGGATTTGAACTGCTGACTTTGTGGTTAGCAATCCAGTGTGCATCCTATAGCATTACCAGGGCTCATTAAGCAAGGAGTAAGTAAGCATGAGCTTATTAGTGCTCACTTACTAATTTGTAGTAGACAACTTCAGTTTTTTTTCACCACACCAAAGATTCTGCTTCTAAGTAAGGCTGGTATTTGTCTTCCTATCCTATAACACATTCCCACATAATCAAAGCCTCTTTTAAAGTTTGCAGTTCCTAACCGGAGTCATGGTGTGGCATTGTGGGTTAATGCATTGGACTGCAAAATCGGTTTGAATCTCAAAGTTGGCGGTTCAAACTCACCAACTGCCCCTCATAAACCCTATACAGGGTCGCTATGAGTCAGAACCCACTAGCAACATCCCTAACCCAGTAAGCAAAGTAAGCACTGACTTACCTGTGCTTACTCACAAATCTGTAGTGAACAATGGATGAGATTGTTCACTACAGATTTGCAAGTAAGCATAAGGAAGTCTGTGCTTATCTTGTTTATTGGGTAATAAACTGCCTAATTAGGTGGATTATATGATACCAGTAGCACACTTAAAAGATCAGCAATTATGAGAGGATGGTTCGAACAGAGAGCAGGGTAGAGTGGGCAAGCACAGATTGGCTCTGCTCAGGGGACATCCTAGCAGGGGGAGGGGTCATCTTCAGGCCCAGTGTCTCCAGGACTCATGGCTCTGCCTCCCACCCCAGATTCACCGTGAGAATATGGCGCATGCGCTGAGCCCTGACATGCTGGCCACAGACCTTGCCTACTACCTGGTCCGCAAGGGGGTGAGTGTGGGGACAGAGAGGGACGTTCTCTTACCCTTAGGAAGTGGGTAGGTCCCCGGGCAGCACTGGAAGCCCAGCACACCAGAGTCAGCTACCCATTCTGTACCCAGATGCCATTCCGCCAGGCCCACGAGGCCTCTGGCAAAGCTGTGTTCATGGCTGAGACCAAGGGGGTCGCCCTCAACCAGCTGACCTTGCAGGAGCTACAGACTATCAGGTGCGCCCCCGAACCCTGTCCCTCAGCTGTCTCACAGGAGTCTGATCCCCGGCAACTGAAGGCTGGGCCCCCCACCCCACCTCTGGCCCTGGGCCCACTTCCTCTCTTCCCCCAGCCCCCTCTTTGCAGGTGACGTGAGCAAGGTGTGGGACTACGGGCACAGCGTGGAGCAGTATGGTGCCCTGGGTGGCACAGCGCGTTCCAGCGTTGACTGGCAGATTGGCCAGGTGCGGGCGCTGCTGCGGGCTCAGCAGGCCTAGTCCCCTGCCTCATCCCAAATAAAGCCAGAGAGAGGAGGCTGCCACTCATTTCCTGTCCACCTGTCTCCCCCCATGGTGGGCTTCCAGGGCCTTGGGCACAGAGAGTGGGGACCCTGAAGAAGTGAAAGAACATGTCATAGAGGGTGAGGGTTGTGGACTGAGCAGAGAGGAGAGTCTTCAAACCCTGCCCAGTCCAGTCAGGCCCCTTCACTACTGGGTGTTGGGAAGTGACCACCACTTGGATCTGCTGGACACTGACTGTAACTACATGCCATCTAGCCCCCGAAAATGGAGCTAACTCTGAGATATGGGGCCTGGGTCTGGGGGGAGCGGCCCTGTGGAGCACATGGCAGGGGAGGGTCCTGACACTGGGCATATCACACGTGCACTTTTCTGGGTCCAAAACTGCTACCTATTGTCACTGTGGGTGTGGGAGAGGGAGCCCTTCTGCCCAGGGGTGGGGTCACACTCCTCCCAGACACATAGACCCCCTCCCCCAGACAGCGGTACCACAGTCAAAGGCCAGGCCGGACTTGGCCCACCAAGGTTCTTGTAGAAACCCAGCTCCTTACAAAGTCAGGAGCTCAGTCAGAAGAGGGCCCTTCAGACAGGGCACAGGTGAACCTCCAAGAGACAAGGGCTTTCAGGGAAAGCGGAGGAGCGGAATAAACACAGGACAGCCTTGAGAGTTAGTCTTAGAGCTCTCTAGAGAAATGGGACCTGTGAGGGCTGTGTGTGTACAGTCGCTAGGGTACAAACTTTTCACTTATGGACAACACACACACAAACGCACATGCGGTGCTCTGGTAGCATAGTGGACTACAAGCTGAGCTGCTAACTGAAAAGTCAGCAGTTTGAATCTACCAGCTGCTCCGCAGGAGAAAGATGAGGCTTTCTGCTCCTGTATAGATTTACAATTTCGAAAATCCTATACAGGATCAGTATGAGTCGGAACTAATTCCATGGCACATAACCACTACCATATATATAGTCGTTGTTAAGTGCTGTTCAATCGGTTCTGACCCATAGCAACTCTGTATAGGGTTTCCGAAGAGCAGTGGTAAGCTTGAACCGCTGATGTTAACAGTTTAAACTGACTTTGGAGTCCAGTGCATTAGCCCACAGTGCCACACCAGGACTCCATACACACAAACACACACACATACATATATACATACACACATATATGTATATGGTGGTGTGCTGTGGAGTCGATTCCGACTCAGCAACCCTACATAGGGTTCCCAAGGCTGTAAATCTTTACGGGAGCAGGAAGCCTCATCTTTTTCCTGTAAATTCTGCTGTGGTGCTGTAGGATCAGCACTGGGCTTCGAACCACAAGGTTGGAAGTTCAAACCCACCAGCTGCTCCTCAGAAACCCTATATATATCTACGGAATCCTGGTGTGGTGCTGCAGGTTAATGAGCTAGACTGCAAGGTTGGTTTGAACCACAAGATCGAAGGTTGAAACTTACTAGCTGCTCCTCAGAAACCCTATCTAGGGTCACTATGAGTTGGAAACGACTCAATAGTACTTAACAATAACAACATACATATATATATGTGTGTGTGTATGTATGTATATATATATGTGTGTGTGTATAAATATATATATAGATTTCTGGTGTGGCACTGTAGGATCAGCACTGGACTGCAAACCACAGGTTGGCAGTTCAAACTCACCAGCTGCTCCTCAGAAACTGGCTCAATGGACCTTAGCAAAACAACATTTTATATATATATATATTATTGTTAAACACACACATATATATGTTGTTGTTAAGTGTCGTCAAGTTGATTTCAACTCCTAGCGACCCTGGGTAGGGTTTCCAAGCAGTGACTGCCAGCCTTGTAAACTGTCCAGTGTTTACCCTACAGGGCCACACCAGGGAGATATATAGTTAGATACATGATTTCAAATATATATACCATATATATATATGAAGGATTTCAAAAAGTTCATAAAAAAAGAAAAGATAATGGATTGATGCATGGAGGGGATTAGAACCATGGCAATGAGATGATATACGATGGAATGAATGTAAAACTAAAGTTCCCCCATGTAAACTATCATATAATTCACAATAAAACATTAAAAAAAAAAAAAAGATAATGGAATTTTTCCACAGACTTTTGAAGCCCCCTCATATACGTAAACATGCATATGTATATAGGGAGTCCTGGTGTAGTGCTGCAGGATAAGAACTGGACTGCTAACCATAAGATTGGTTGTTCAAGCCCACCAGTCACTCCTCAGAAATCCTGTACGGGGTCACTTTGAGTGGGAACTGACTCGATGGCACTTAATATGAGCATATATTTTTATGTATATCATATATAAGGAACTCTGGTAGCGTAGTGGTTATGAATTGGGCTGTGAATCTCAAGGTCAGCAGTTTGAAACTACCAGCTGTTCCTTGGGAGAAAGATGAGGCTTTCTGCTCCCGTAAAGATTTACAGCTTCGGAAACCCGGTACAGGGTCACTATGAATCGGAACCGACTCCACGGCACATAACAACAACAACAACAACATATATATATATGTTATATATTATGTGCTTTTGAGTCAGTTTCCACTCATAGTAATCCTGTATAGGAGTTCTGAGTGGCTGGTAGGCTTGAACTGCCGACCTTGCAGTCCAGCATGGTAACCCACAATGCCACACCAGGATTACATGTATGTATGTATGCACATATATGTTATTGTTAAGTACCATCGAGTCAGTTCTGACTTAGTGACCCTGTATATGGTTTCTGAGGCCTTAAATCTTTGTGGGAACAGAAAGCCTCAACTTTCTCCAGTGGAACAGCTAGCAGGCTCACACCACGGACCTTTTGGTTTGTAGTTCCATGCTGTTCACAAGTGTGTGTGTGTATATATATATGTATACACACACAAACACACACACACATATATATAAAATATATGTACATTTATGGTTACTCTACCTTAGATTACAGTAAGGAATATGATTACCTCACATTACACTTCGCAGTGTAACCGCAACTAATGTACAATTTGACCAAATCATTGGGAATCGTAGTTGACACATAAAATTAACCATTGCAGAGTCAGACAGCAGCGTGTGAGTCCTGCTCTGTCACAGGGCAGCTTTGGTACTTTAGGCAAGTGACTGACTGCCAAGTCCCTCATTAGTCAGCTAGAGAGGAAGTGGCAGGGTTTGGCCTAGCCTGGGATCCCAGGACCAGAAGAAACAGAGAACATCGTCTACCCAAATATCACCAAACTCCTGAGAAGAAATGTCTGAAACTGATAAGCAAGCTACTCAAGGAATAAACAACCCTGCCCATGCTATTCTGAGAGCCAGCGAAAACATTTTATAAACTAAAGAACCAAACTTAACCATAAGTCAGGACCCAGCCCCCAGTTCCAAAAAGGATCAAAGCCATGGGTCACACATAGTCTTCTAGAGTAGCGGTTCTCAAAGTGTGCATCCAGACCAGCAGAATCGTCACCTAGAAACTTGTTAAGAATGCGGATTCTCAGGCCACACCCAAAACTGACTGAATCAAAATCAGGTGGACCCAGGGGAGCCTGATATGGTGTCAAGTTTGAGAATCACTGGACTTTAGAACCTTGAATCCCACGGTGTACCAGGTTAAGCGGTCACAGACTAGTAAGAACATCTTCATCTGGGTCCTACTCCAGACCTGATTCAGAAGGTGTATTTTAACATGTGCTTCTTGCACACATTCAGTCCAGAGAATGTCTAAAGTGTAGTCTCAGAAATGAAGGACCTTGTATTCGTCAAACAACAGAGTGGAAGCAGTCACTGTAATGTGCATAACACGAGGAGAGACAGAAAGCAGTGAATTAGATTGATGTGATGCATCTAGCAAATGGGACACACCTCATTTCACGTGAGCACTCTATTTAGAAGGTTCTTCCTTAACCAAATCTGAGTTGGCTTCCTATGAATGAGTTTGGCCTAAACAGAAGGGATGAGCTTCTCCTAGCCTCAGGGAGAGCAAGAGTTGGTGTCGTTTTTCTGCTCCTTCCTGTTCTGCTGCCAGCTGGCTTCATCTTTTCTTCTTTTTTCCTCTTTTGTTCATAATAACCTCAACATCTGGCTGCCCCAAAGTCCACTCTGGCCTTGTATTGGTTTCCTATTGTTACTAAGACGAATTACTACCAAGTTAGTGGTTTTAAACCATATAAATGTGTGGTTGTTGTAGAGGTCAGAAGTCAGAAATGGGTTTCACTGAACCAACCTCAAGGTGTCAGAAGGGCTCTCTCTGGAGAGACCTTCCAAGATTCTAGAGGCCACCTGTGTTCCTGGACTTTGGCCTTTTCCTCCATCTTTACAACCTGCCACAGAGCACCTTCAAATCTCTGAGCTTCTGGGTCCATTATCATAGTTCCTGCTTCTGATTTTGGTCCTTCTACCTCCTCATAGAAAGTCCCTGTAGTTACCCACAGGATAAACCAAGATAATCGCCCCATCTGAAGAACTCAATTTAAACATATCAGCAAAATCCCTTTTACATGTAAGGTCACAGGTCCCAGGGACTAGGATGGGACCTCTTTTCTGTGGTTAATACCATGGAAAGCTGTTATTCAGCAATCCACAACCCACCCTCTGGCTCTTTACAAGATTCTTATCTGTCTCACATACTTTTAAAAAAACACTTACCTCATCTCAGAGTTCCTAGAAGCTTAAACTAATTATAGCTTCAACTCAAGTCCAAAATGTCTAGATCTCATCAGACCAAAAGACCCAAGTTACATCACCTAAATCATACAAATCAGAGTCTTGGCATGGTGCTGTGGGTTAATGCATTGGACAGTTCAGTTGGTCTGAACTATAAGGTTGGTGGTTCAAGCTCACCAGTCGCTCCTTGGAAAACTTATGCAGGGTCGCTATGAGTCGGAACCAACTCCACGGCACTTAACAACAAATCAGAAATTAAATATGAGACTCTGGATCTCCTTTTGTGGGGCAAAATTCCCCTGCATATGGATGTCTGTGAAACTATTAGGATTGTGGTGAAGATGAAATGAGTTTACACATATAAATTCATGAAACAAATTATTGGGTCCCAAAATACAATGTAGGAGTTGTTCCAGTAGATAGGAGACCCCTCCAAAA